TTAATCCCTTATGTGTAATTAGCTCTACCGAACGCCATCTTTTTGCATCTTGGTGCTTTGCCCTGCGTTAGGAACATCCTAGTTCTCTCATTTTAACACATGAGCTGATCCTCTCATTACCTTCTTAGCTTTTAAAAATGATAATCTATAGTCCCCCAGTTAAATCCATACATTCAGTCATGTAAGACAAAGAAATAAAAGGAAATGAATATATTTGCAAGTTGAGCACCTTTTGTGCGTAATGCTTGGGACTTGAAGTGTTTCAGATTTGGGGCAGTTTTCTTGTATTTGAGGAAGTTTTTATAGTTTTTATTATCACGGTGGCACTGAAAAAGTATAGAATTTTGAATTTTCAGATTAGAGATGCTCAACCTGTACTTAAATCCTCTTTAAGTTTCAGAAGTTATATAGACCCTTAAGTTGGCAGTTAACCAAGGCTGGAGCAAAAGAAATTTCCAGTTATTTCCAATAGGACATGGAGAAAAATTGTTTCAGAGGTCTTGTTGTCAGAAATGTGCTGAAATGGTTTACACAGAACAACTTAGGGAACACATCTGTTTAGTAAGACTAAATGGGTGTGTAGAGATAAAGCCACGTTACACAGAGCGTCCAGATAAGGGCAGTCCCTTGAGCAGCAGCACCTGGTCAGTCAGCGCTGTACTAGGGACCCAGGTGCATTCCTGTGGGTGTTCTTTGCAGAAGGCCACGCTGCACAGCACCAAGGAAGGCTAGGTAGACGGGAGGCCTTGCTTCATAGTCCTAGTACCTGCTTAAACAGCTACATTCTATGATCTAAGACTTTTTTGTCATTTGTTTTTAGTGCTGGGGTTTGAACCCAAGGCCTTGCACATGCTAGGCAAGTGCTCCATCACAAAGCTATAGCCCCAGCCCAGCAGCTGCATTCTATCTAATACATGGTTTAGGGCCCTAGATGGTGAGCATTACAGACCTATGACTAAATTAAAAATTAATATGCTTAATGTGTAGAGTGGTTGTTATTTATTTATTTATTTTTTTTTTTGGTGGAACCGGGGATTGAACTCAGATCCTTGCGTTTGCCAGTCAAGCACTTATCCTACTGAGCCATCTCCCCGCCCCTTGTTTTTTTTTTGTTTGTTTTTTTATTTTGTGTGTGTGTGTGTGTGTGGCCAGCTCAGCCCACCAGGGGGCAGGGCTGGCTGGCATGTGGTGCTGGGGAATTGAACCGCGGTCCCTGCGCTTTGTTTAGCTTAGCTTGTTCTAAGTAGTGCTTTAGACCACTGAGCCATCTCACCAGCCCCGGCCCCTTGTTTTTTAATTTAAGATGTCGATAAACTTTTTCAAATTATTTTTTTTTTTTTCAATTCAGTGTAAAACTTTTGTATCATCTAACTCCATATTCTTGCTGTAGCACTGTACACTGGCTGTCCGTGTAGCCTTAGAGAGCTGTCTTGGTGTACAGGGTGTGTTGTGTTTGAATCACGCTTGAAGGCTCTGCCTTGGCCCAGCCCTGGTCTGCCAGCTGTAATAAGCTTGTTCTTCCAGTAATGCAGCCAGCAACACAGAAATGATCACAGGGCCAGAAAGCCCACTGTACTAGAAATGGGCATGGGTCTACATTTTTGTGTAGTATTTTACCTTGTGAATAAGGTAGTATTGTTTGGATTTCTAATTGTAGCCTAAACCTAATTGTAATGTAATTTTGTATCTCCTTTAATTTACATCCTGAGAGTTCTCACTTTCTTCTGTTGTCCTCATTCATATGATTTTTAATTTTTTTAATTTTTTAATTTTTTTTTTTGGCGGAACCAGGGATTGAACTCATACTCTTGCACTTGCCAGGGAAGCACTTACTGTACTGAGCCATCTCCCCAGCCCCATAAATAGGATTTTTAAAATTTATTTATTTTTGGTCTTTGTTTCACTGTGCAGTTCATGCTAGCCTTGAACTCAGTTTGTAGCCCGCATTGGCCTCCAACTGGTAGTGATGTTCCTGCCTTGGCCTCCTGAGTGCAGAGATGACAGGTGTGCGACCACCACACCCAGCCAAAATAAAACTTTTAATGGCCAGTGATAGTACAGGGTCTGCAGGGTCTCAATACATAGATTGGACTCATAGTGATCCTGTACACCCTCCCAAGTGCTGCGTTTACAGGCATGAGCCACCACACCCAGGCTCAATCCCACCACACCCAGTCTCAATCACAGTCTCAGTGTGCCCAGGGGGCAGGGCTGGCACGGCAGGCTGGGCATCAAACCCCAGGCCCCTGAGTCTGCCTAAGCAGGCGTTTTAATCCGCAGAGCTATTTGGCCGGTCCTCACCAGTGAATTTTGAAAGAGTGACTTCTAGGGAGATTTACCCTGGTTCAGTATAAAAGTCTCTTATCAGGCACTCAAATTATGAGTGACACATCAGAGAGTATTTTTGTGCATATAGTGCTTTTGTATTGTGGCATATAGTAAACCTAATTTCTCAGTTTGGAAATGATACACAATTTACAAACCTTGGAAATATTTTACCTACTTGAAACATTTGATTTGGCTTCTAGGGAGCACAGTTGTTGCTATTTTAAGAAGGTGACAGGTGTCACTACATTTAGTAATATGTGTACAGGAACTTGCCTTTCAGTAGAAGATAGATTCTGAAGCTCTATGAATATGAATTAAATTTTTGAGGCTAAAATTGGATCTTATTTTGTATTTGTAGTACAATAGATAAGATTTCTATATTTTTCTTTTTATGTTTTTTTGTTTTTGTTTTTGTTTTTGTTTTTTTTCCAGAACCAGGGATTGAACTCAGGCCCTTGCACTTGCCAAGGATCTTTTTATGTTTTGTAGTTCTGTGGGTTGAAACCAGCTATGTACTAAGCTATCTAAAATTTTGAGCCAGTTGTTAAGTTGGTAAATTGCCCAGTCTGGTCTTAAATCTGTGATTCTCCACCCTCAGCCTCCAACCAGAATGCTGGGGTTGCAGACGTGTATCACTGTACCAGGCGGACTTCTAGGGATTTAAGTATTTCCCTCTCCTTCCTAAAGTTGACTTCCTGTTCTACAAATACAGTGTCCACCCATGTTAAATTTAGAAAACTAGTTGCACAGTAGTACATGTAGTGTACCATTCAGGTTAAAAAGCACAACTGTGTTCCTGGCACATATGCTGACTGTGTTTGTATGCAAACAGATCTGAAGGTAATAATAAATAATCCAGAATATCGAGGTGTTCCTTTTGGGAAGAGGTAATTCTACTTTAGTAGTTATATAAACAGCCAATCTTGTGTCATCTGTAGCACCAATATCCACCTCACTCACTTTGAAGAATATCCCAAATACATAATTCCATCTATAAGTATTTCATTAAGTATATAAAAGATAAGGACTCAACATAATCAAAAACCTTTTAGAAATGGGCTTATTAGAAATGAGCAGTAGTTACTTAATTATAGTTTTTTAGTATTCTACAATTACTAACTTTTAAGTTGCTATTTTATTTCATTGTTTGTATCCTTTAAATATTTTAAAATTAATGTAATTTTTCCTTTCAAATTTAGTATATATTTTCCCACTTGTTCTTGAAATAAAGCCACAGTTAAATTTTTTTGTGATGTTTTATTCGGGATGAGAAATTTGAATAAATGGTTTGAATATCTTCATCTTTAAATTTAAAAAATGATTCAGGTACATATTACTGAGGTTTAGTATATTAGGATGGGAAGCTGTTGATAGCTTGATTGTAGCAGCAGAGTCAACCCAAATCAAAAACCATGGTCAAAGCTCTGCTGCCCCTCAAGTGCTTTTCTTGTGTCTGTCTGACTTTGGTGCTTTGTCGCCCTCAGGTCTCCGCTAGAAGATGGCAAAGCCCAGCCACAGCAGCTACGTCCTGCAGCAGCTGAACAACCAAAGAGAGTGGGGCTTTCTCTGTGACTGTTGCATTGCAATTGATGACATTTACTTTCAAGCGCACAAAGCAGTTCTAGCTGCCTGTAGCTCCTATTTTAGGATGTTTTTCATGAACCATCAGCACAGTACTGCACAGTTGAATCTCAGCAACATGAAAATCAGTGCTGAGTGTTTTGATCTCATTTTGCAGTTTATGTATTTAGGAAAAATTATGACAGCTCCCTCCAGTTTTGAGCAGTTTAAAGTAGCGATGAACTACCTACAGCTGTACAATGTTCCTGACTGCTTAGAAGACATACAAGATGCAGATTGTTCTAGTTCAAAATGTTCATCCTCTGCTTCCAGCAAACAGAGCACCAAAATGATTTTTGGAGTGAGAATGTATGAAGACACTGTGGCTAGAAACGGCAGTGAGGCCAACAGGTGGTGTGCGGAGCCCAGCTCCACAGTGAACACACCTCATAATCGAGAGCCCGATGAAGAGTCTCTACAACTAGGTAGTTTTCCTGAGCCACTATTTGATGTATGTAAAAAGAGTTCTGTGTCCAAATTATCTGCTCCAAAAGAGAGGGTATCACGACGCTTTGGACGGAGTTTTACTTGTGACAGCTGTGGATTTGGCTTTAGCTGTGAAAAATTATTAGATGAACATGTGCTGACCTGTACCAATAGACATTCGTACCAGAACACAAGATCTTACCACCGAATAGTCGATATTAGAGATGCAAAAGACAGTACCATCAAAGCCGAATTTGGTGAAAAGGATTCATCTAAACCATTTTCTACACAGGCAGACAAATACAGAGGGGACACAAGCCAGGCCCCTGATGATTCCGCCTCCACCACTGGAAGCAGAAAAAGTGCAGTGGAGTCCGAACTAGGCGATGAAGAAAAAAGCAGGGCAGCTGAGAGGAAAAGAATCATCATTAAGATGGAGCCTGAAGATATTCCTACAGATGAGCTGAAGGACTTTAACATTATTAAAGTGACTGATAAAGACTGCAATGAATCCACTGACAACGATGAACTGGAAGATGAACCTGAAGAGCCGTTTTACAGGTATTATGTCGAAGAAAATGTTGGTATTAAAAAAAGTGGCAGGAAAACTCTGAAACCTCGTATGTCAATAAACTCTGAAGAAAGAGGTGCTTTAGAAAGTCTGAGGCCCCCTAGCAACAGCAGTCCAGTCCAAGAGGATGGCGAGAATGCCTCCTGTGAGCTGTGTGGCCTCACGATCACCGAGGAGGACCTGTCTTCTCATTACCTGGCCAAGCACATCGAGAACATCTGCGCGTGTGGCAAGTGCGGACAGATCCTCGTCAAGGGCCGGCAGCTGCAGGAGCACGCGCAGAGGTGTGGAGAGCCCCAAGATCTGACGGTGAACGGGCTTGGGAGTACTGAGGAGAAGATGGACATGGAAGAAAACCCCGATGAACAGTCTGAAATAAGAGATATGTTTGTTGAAATGCTGGATGATTTTAGGGACAGCCATTACCCGATAAACAGTATCCAAAAAAAGCAGTTATTTAAACACTCTGCCTGTCCTTTTCGATGTCCTAACTGTGGCCAGCGTTTTGAAACTGAGAACCTAGTGGTTGAACATATGTCTGGCTGCCTAGATCAAGATATGTTTAAGAGCGCCATTATGGAAGAAAACGAAAGAGACCATAGGCGAAAGCATTTTTGTAATCTTTGTGGAAAAGGATTTTATCAGCGGTGTCATTTAAGAGAACACTATACTGTTCATACTAAGGAAAAACAGTTTGTTTGTCAGACATGTGGGAAGCAGTTTTTAAGAGAACGTCAGTTGCGTCTGCACAATGATATGCACAAAGGCATGGCCAGGTATGTCTGTTCCATTTGTGATCAAGGAAACTTCCGAAAACATGACCATGTACGGCATATGATTTCTCATTTATCTGCTGGAGAGACTATATGCCAGGTCTGCTTTCAGATATTCCCAAATAATGAGCAACTGGAGCAGCACATGGATGTTCACCTGTACACATGTGGAATATGTGGAGCAAAGTTTAACTTGAGGAAAGATATGAGATCACATTATAATGCCAAGCATTTGAAAAGAACCTAAGTGATTTTCTACTGTATTAATGTCTAGTTGATAGCAAACACAACACCAAAGTAAAAAGAATATGAGCTATTTAGAAATCAGTTTTATAAGATGAATTGTTGGAAAAAATTTCAAGGCCCTTTTAACTTTTTTTATTTAGAATCTTAAGTATATCTACACTTTAGGTGTTAAATGCTTATCATTTTTGTTGTTTCTTAATAGCATTCTTTGTTTCTAGTTTCCTTTAAAATTACTTTTAAATGTAGACAATAAGTTGCTGTTACCTCTTCAATGACTATTAAACGTTAGTTTTTTATCAATAAGGTGATGACTTCACTATTTCTATGTGGGGTTTTCTTTTGGTTTGGTTTTTTTTTTTTTTTTTTTGTTTTTTTTTTTTTTAGGTTATTCTGTGAAATCTTAAGCCAGCATCATTGGCTATTCCTGTTTAAAGTTTTAAAGTAATTTTTTCTTTATTATATGAAATTTTCCCATTCAGGTTTAGGTATTTTTGTCTTTTGTCAATTGAACAGTAGATTAGCTACTGTTTATTCTCTCTTATTATCAATGAAACTCATATTCTTAAATGGACAAGCTTATTAGGCAAGTTAGGTGCACTGACTAACCTTCAAGGTTGACACGGGCTCAGACTTGGCCTAAAGAGATGGATGGACCTGAGGAAATTCCTATAAATGATCATTTCCTATAATTGATAAAATATTATCATTTAATAATCACATTTAAAACTTATATTAAGTGTAAATTCCAATGACTTTCCCTCACTTGTGAAGTTGGTGGGGATAAGCCATTTTGTTTTGTGATATTAAATTTAACTATGATAGTTAATTAAAAGACATTCATTAAAAATATTTTAATTTAAAATATTCTGATTTCTAAAGTGTGTTAGTTTATCAATTATTTTGTTTATAAATAGATTTTAATAGCTCTCTAGGAATATCTAAAGGAAAGTGATTTTCACCTTTAAAATTACATACTTTTGGTACTTTGAGATTTGAAAAGCTGCCATGTATATTCATAAATCTAATAAAATAAATCAATTATAAATCTGGTTGTTCTATAAAAGTAGAATGCACAAAAATGTGTTGTGTCTTATACTAAGATTTGGAGAAAGTGTTGTGGCAAATTGCAATCTATCATGCTTTATTTCTGTAAAGGATATGAAATTTGAGGACTACCAATCACAACATAAATGGAAACAGTTTATAATTTTTCACTTAAGTTAGTATTGTTAGTTGTTCTTGACGTAGGGTCTACATCAATTACATGTGAACTAAAACACTGGCAAGACTGACCCATCAATAAATAAATATACTGAATAGAATGCCTTTTAATGTGAATTACTTCCAACATAACACCCTTCTCCTAGTGACAGGATTCTAACTAACTCCTGTATTTAAAAATAGTTTTGTGATTATGAATAGTATTAGCATTGCTCATTTTGTTCACAGATTTTAAGGTATGCAAATCGCATTTGTGTACTATTAAAAGAAGTTGCCAAGGGAATTTGATACATTGGCTAGTACAAGTACTAATTAATTGAAAGTGGGGGTGGGGCCAGGGAGATAGCTCAGTAGAATAAGCACTTGCCTGGCAAGCACAAGGGCCTGAGTTCAATCCCCAGTTCCACAAAAAAAAAAAAAGTGTGGGGCACAGTGTGAGCTCACAGATTTGTGGGGGTAGGTTTAAATGTTAAGTACGGATACAAATAGTAAAGGAGACAGTGCAGAATTAAAGTAATGGGAAGTGGAATGGCGTGACAAGGTAAATAAAAAAAATCAAGACTTTTAAGAGATAAAACAGGATTTTTTTTTTTTTTTTTTTTTTTTCTGGCTGCTTTAAGGGCGGGTCTGGTGCAGATTGTGGAGTTGGTTAAAGATGAAACAGGAAAGGTAATTCATCTAAGTCTTAGATATAATAGTTTTATCATGTACTTAAATCTGAAATGCAATTTAAATTTATATAGGATGCATGTGTAGATTACTTGTAGGAACCTGATAAACAAGTTGTCTAACCCAGAGACCACTAGAGAGTAGTATGAAGAGTAAGACAAAATTTCCAAACTACATAGTATCTTAATGGATGTAATTTTCTTTGGTGTCACCTTTTTCTACCCTTCTTAAAGTCTTTGTAGTGGTTTTCCTACCATTAAAGAAAAGGGCCTTTTCTAAATACTACCACTTTTGAACAAAGTATTACTTATCTATTCTGCTAGGAAGGTGGATTCATGTAAACAACTCGTGATTGCATGTGCCTGAGAGGTCTGTTTTATACAGCCACGCCTCATGATGCTGCCTTCTCCCTGTTGCATATCACATGGGACACACCTTTGGTTTTGGAATTAGCTATAGGGCAGCATAGACTTCTTCAAATCAAATATACAGGGCCAGGGAGATAGCTCAGAATAAGCCTGGCAGGTGCAAGGACCTGGGTTCAATCCTCAGTTCCACCAAAAAAAAAGTAAGCAAATCGAGTATATAGTTTTCTTTATCAAAACAAAGTTCATTTAAAGGCCACTTGGAGGGGCCGGGGAGATGGCCCAGGAGAGTAAGTGCTTGCCTGGCAAGCGCAAGGGCCTGAGTTTAATTCCCTGTTCCGCAAAAAAATAAAGGCTACTTGGCTTTTAAAACTGGCAGGGTGGGTGACAACATCCAACCCTCGTGTCCCACTCGGCTTTGTCTCGCCTCCCCACTCTCCCAGGGTGGAGCTGCGAGCGCTCATGCTTGCTATTGCTCTTTGCCTTCTGGGTTGTGAAGAGAAGGAACCAGGAGAGGTTGTCTGCTGCTCTGGCCTTTATAACTTGCATATTCATCCCCCTCCTCCATCGACACAGAATAAAATCTTGTTTATGTCTCACAAACAGAGACATCATTTTTACTTTGAAGGACGTTTTGTTCTGACCGTGTCCAACTTTTGGATCTCCTAATGCACAATGAGCAATTTGACTTGCTGTTTGCAATGCTGGGAAGCAAACCTGGGGCTTTGGTAGGGCAGGCGAGTGTGCTGCCGCTGAGCGCATGCCAGGCCCGCCTTTGTGAGTAGTAAGAGATCCTGGTGGCACAGTCTGCACCTAACAGACTTGCTGTCAATTACGGTACAACTTGGATGATTCAGTAAATAGCACAAAGAATCGCAGAGGTTAAAAAAAGCACAATGAAAAAAAAGGGGGGGGGCTGCCCATTAGCTCAGGTGTGTAAGTGCCTGCTGAAACAGCAGTCAGGCTCAGGGTGCTGTGGTTCAATCCCCTCATCAAGCCAAAACAGACCTGCCCTGAAGGCATCTTGAGCAGCCAAAAAAAAGCATAACAAAGGCAAGAATCTATGAGGACTCTGAAGTTAAAATGCGCAAAGACCGGGGTTTGATCTCTGACACCACATGCTGCACGGGCCCAGAAACCCCTGGGCACACTGAGCTGGTCACCGAGACCAGGTGTGGTGGCATGCCTGTCATCTCAGTGCTGGGGAAGCTGAAAACGAGGATCACTACAAGAGGATGCTGGGTAGTGAGACCTTGTAACAAATGCATTTTTAAAAAAATTTAAAACGTTCAGAGAAATGACCTACATGAGCAAAATGGTATGTGTTGTTTTACTGAAAAATAACTCTGAGTATGGGCAAAAATTAAGAGAAAGGACACCAAAGGGGGCAGTTATAAAGCTAAAAGAATTGGCCAGGGATATAGCACAGCAGCACAAGCACCTGCCTGGCAAACGCAAAGTGCTGACTTTGATTCCCAGTAACAAAAAGTACATAAAACTAAAAAAAATTAAGGACAATTTACTAGGGCAGTTGGAATACTAATTAAAAAGAATAATAATAGGCTTTGAACATTTGTTATTGTAGTTAAAAAACAAAAATAAGAGCAAGGTATAAAAACTGAATTTAAAAAAAGACTTGAAAATTGTAGGTGATGGGCTGGTGAGATGGCTCAGTGGTCTAAAGCACCTACTTAGAACAAGCTAAGCTAAGCAAAGCACAGAGACCACGGTTCAATCCCCCAGCACCACATGCCAGCCGGCCCCGCCCCCTGGTGGGCTGA